AGATTTCATTCAGTCTCTGAGTCATGTCTTACAATCCTTAAAGCTTCAAACAAGGCTCTTCTGGGAGAGGGTTATGAAGCCCCAACAGTCATTGGCCTAAGTCAGAATGATCCTTTCCCAGAACAAGTAATTAAAAGGGAAGGTGTATACCCACAGTTAAATGTGATTTCCCCTTCTGATGCTACATTCCAAAATATCTTTATAGTTCCCAACTTTTACCGCTTCTCTGTGGCCGTGGGGTAGTCAGATCAGATGAGAATCTTGTAGAGAATATTTTTAAATACATATGTCCATTATATAGTAATAAAAATGGTTTGGAAGAATGTTTAGAGCAGGAAATAAAATGCATTCATGAGGCACACATCTCTCCATGTTTAAATTATAGGGACAATTCATGTATTGAATTTGTAAAATTTGTGTGTATTTTTAATACGTTTTCCAGAGGTGTAGTAACTGAGGTTTAGTATTATAATATCCTCTCCTCCAATTTCAGGGGAAAATAGAATAGAATAGAATAAAAACATTATTGCCAATTTAAAACCCTAATCAGCATACATTAAAATGAAATTTTGTTGCATTCAGCTCTCAAAAGATAACCATTATGCATATATACACACACATATGACACAGAGAAACATCAGAGTTTAGTTTGGATGTATATGATGGAAAAAAAAGAATCCTGCAAGTTTACAAGATGGATGGCATAAGGAACAAAGCTATTACAGAATCTAGTAGTCCTGCTATAGATACTTTGAAACCTCTCCCAGAGGGAGCAAAAGAAACAAATCATGAAGTGGGTGTGTGGCGTATCTAACAATACTTCAAGCTCTAAGCACATAGAGCTTATAAGCAGTATCCTGAATAACAGGATGCGAGCTTCCTATAATCTTCTCGGCTGTCCTTACCACTCTCTGTATGGACTTTCTATCTAAGGCACTGCTACCACCAAACCAATCAGTGACGCAGTTTGTTAAAATGCTCTCAGTTGTGCCTCTGTAAAAAGTGGGCAGGACAGAAGGAGAAATATCTACTCTCCTTATCCAACACAGGAAATGCAGACTCTGGTTTGCCTGTTTCACTAAAGATAATATATGAAGAGACCAAGTCAGATTCTTAGTTATCTACACCCCGAGTCTTAATACTATTACCACCTCCACAGCTGCATCCTTGATACAAAGTGGAGTATGACTATGCCGATTCTATCTAAAATCAACAGTATTCTCCTTTGTTTTGTTAACATTCAAAACCAGGTTATTTTTATTGCACCAGTCCACCAAAGCCTTCATCTCTTCCCTATAAGAATCTTCACTGGATATGTTCAGTGGTGGGTTGCTACCGGTTCTCCCCAGTTCTTGTGAACCGGTAGTGGAAATTTTGAGTAGTTTGGAGAACCAGTAAATACCACCTCTGCCTGGCCCTGCCCCCAATCTATTCACTGCCTCCCGGTCCCAGCTGATTGGCTAGATGAAAAAAACTGTTTAAACTCTTACTGCGGCACTTCAAAGGGCCACCCTACAGCTGATCAGCAGTAAAAGGCAGTGTGGTGGTAGACCAGTGTGCTCCAAAAACAAATAGGTAGACCGGTACGGCTCTGCAAGCAGTTAAAAGCCTGGTAAACCAGTACCTCTGCTAAATCCTAAGGAATTGTCACATGACCATCAAACCATGCCCACAAAATAAGCCACGCCCACAGAACCAGTAGTAAAAAAATTTAGAACCCGCCCCTGGATAAGTTCCATCACTGTCGTGTCATCCGCATACTTCACGATATCATTCATAGCAGACTTGGCACAGCAGTCATGAGTCATCAAGATGAACAGTAATAGATTCAAGACACAGCTCTGTGGGGAACCCATATTCAAGGAGATGGAAATGAAACGTTTCTTCCGACTCGCATAAACTGGGGCCTATCAATAAGGAAATCAAGTATCCAGTTACATAAAGAAGTATTAAAACCAGTGGTGGGATTCAGCCAGTTCGCACCATTTCGGGAGAACCGGTTGTTAACTTTCTGAGCAGTTTGGCAAACTGGTTGTTGGAAGAAATCATTAGGGTACAGAACCGGTTGTTAAATTACTTGAATCCCACAACTGATTAAAACCTAATAGGCCCAGTTTGTTCACAAAATGATTGTGTTGAATGCCAGTCTAAAATCAAACAGCATTTGCACATGAGTATTCTTCTTCTCCAGGTGCGCCAACTAAGATGAAGCACACAAGAAAGCGCATCATCTATACACTAAAGAAGTTTAGCTGAACTTTCATAACATTTTCACTCCTCAATATTAATACCACCTACAGTCTAATTGACTATGATTTGTTGCTGCTGTTGTTTGCTTGCTTTGTTTTTGCTATGGTTTGACGAACTATTCAATGCATATTGAACTTTTCACATGTACCCAGAAACTTGGAAACAAGCTGTTGTATTTGGAGAAAGAGACCTGTCCTTTTGTGGACCTCACATGCTACTTTTGTCATGTAAATAGCATATTGTTACCAGAAGCAGCAGCAAATTTGGAATCCAGATACATATCTGTATGTGTCTGTGAGTTGTCACATCCTTGTGATGCCATAAATTTACCGGTAAATTGAATCCACTTATTTTGTCTTCAGTTGGGCAAAAAGGATGATGGGGGATTGATATAATACAAAATACTGATTCTAATTAATTGTTGTTGATAATAATATCAATATTTCCTCCTATACCTTAGCCAAAATGTGTCAGTTCTTGCTCCCTCCCTCCCTCCCTCCCTCTCTCTCACTCTCTCTCTCTCTCACACACACACACACACACACAAACACAAACACAAACACAAACAAACACACATGTGATCTTGAATCTGTTGTGTGCATATTCTAGATGAGGATCATTTTTGCTGTGTCCAAGGCTTTGAGCATTGCAAAGAGAATAAAATCACTCCATTTTTAACTGTCAATGGTCCATTCTTCACTCTAAACATGTACATTTTGTTTTCTACTTTCTGCTCTTGAAGTCAGAAACCAGACTGGTTTTCCCTGAAGAGACAACAGAAGTCAGTGAAACCACATAAGCGATCAAAACAAGCTTATATTGCACCACAGCTCCCGCACTTACTGTGTAATTGGCCTAACATCACATTTGTTTAGACACAGAGCCTATAAACACTAAACTTTGGTAACCATGAATGGTCTCATTGAGGTCAATAGAATTTACATGGTAGGGTTGTTAAACATGTTTACAAGTGTGTGTGATCTGAGCCTTGGTAAATTATTGTAACTGAGTAAAGGATTCCACAGAGTTTAAAAATAGTTTTGGCTATCTGATTTGCACTTGTGGGCAGATCCAGTATTATTATTATTTTAATCTTTTCAAGCAGCATATGTTAGTTAATTTAAAAAACAAAACAGGTTCAGCTATTAAACAAGTCTTACTACTTTCATTAAGACTTTTGGCAGTTTTGCTCTAACGGAATATTCATTTCCCAATGTAATTTTAATGCACCTTCTCTAGGTCTGATTCAAAAACTATTTTATTTTCAAAGCCATGTCATTGATTTTATATTCTTGAAAAGCAATGTTAAGGAATTAACAAATAGCTGTTGTACATTTTGACTCAATCTTCTTTCATTTTTATTGGAAGTATTTCTTATAGAATGTCTAGTTATTTCTGGAAGGTGCCAAGATGAGGAAAAGCTACCTTAATTCCTTTCATTGTTTTTTAAATTTGTAAAAATTGGGTTTTACCACAAAATGTCATTTTTTTTCTAATTCCAGTTATTATAAGTTTGAAATTTTAATTGCCATTCTGCCAAATTTTAGGACCATGTGGGAAATAAAACCCACAACTGTGTACCCTTAATAGTGAAGAGCAAAATAGATTTTGCTTTCTGTGTTTAAGATTTTAATTTTTAGTTTAAATTTAAACATAACCATTAAATTATCTGAGCTTGATAACCTAATAAATACATCAATCAGTTCAATATCTTAGCATGAGCATAAGCAGTTGGTTTCTTTTTTTCGGATGTGATTTGAAATAAATGGTTAAGGTTACCCACAACTTTGCAGACCATTCAATATTTTAAAGGTCTTTCATAATTTTATTCTGCTTTTCTCTTAAATGGTGAATGTCAGTGACAGTTCAGAAGAGAATTTTATGGGTTTATTGTGGTAAGAATATAGAGTGTTAAGGTGTTGGATCTATACTGAGAAGACCCAAGCTGAAGTACTTTGGTGATCATGAAGCACACTGGTAACTTTAGACCAGTTATTATTATCACTTACCACAACTTGTCCATGTGGGAACTACTGGGGAAAAATTGGAGTAAGATTACTATGTATGTAGCTTTGAGTTCCTGAAGAAAAAGCTATAAATCTAACAATAAGTATTAAATCTGTAACCATAAAAGATAAAATATTCACCACATTTTAGTTGGGATTTGGAAATAGCCAGTAGAATTCAATACTTTTTGTTTGTTTGTTTTGAGAAAAAAAGCAATAACAACATATAGATGTACTAATTTGCATGTTAAAGAGCTTTTCTTTGGCCAATATATTTAAATATATATATATTTGCTACTGGATTCTGCATGCATAACATCCATAATGATGCAAATTTTGGCTTGCACCAGAAAAGCAAACAGTTGAGCCTTTTATATGGCTCAGATAGGATATTGCTACTATGATACTGCATGCTGATTTTTTTTTTTTTTAGTGAGATGCATTTTTATTTTAGATAGGTGGCATTGCAATGATAACTATTGAAGTATTGCTGTGCATTAAAAATTAGATTAATATAGATTTCCATGACCAATCATATGTCATTAATAAACTTTAGGCAGACTAAGTGGCAGTAATGCAACAAAAACATGTACGTTTTCAGTGAGAAATCAGTCTTTGCAACTCATCCTAAATGTCTGTTGGGATCCAACACAGGAAAACTATAAACCAAAGTCTACTTTTCTTTATAATGAATGTTATAAATCAACATTTTATTTCAAATCCTCATGTTACTTTAATTTTCAGCGTGTGAGACAGAAGCAGGCAAGGTTTGCCAGTTTTCATTAGAAGAACACATCCAGCCCTTTAAAGACAACATGGACAAATTCATTAGTCAAGGTAAATAATGACTAGTAATTTAACCTTTCCAAGCTTTATCACAAGAATGTTGTAGAAACAATATTTAGACATGGTGAATGACGTGTCTATTTATTTTGGAGCCATAGAAATGTGCAGATTAGCTTAATCAGATGGTTTCTTATTTCAAAATAGCTTACCTGTTCTGTGCTCCCTTTCTGAATGTTATTAGTGGTCATTGTTCTCTAAGAAAGTTTTCTGAGTTCGTATTCTGTGTAGGAAGCAATTTTCCAACATTTGTTTCTTGACAGTTTCATAAACTGGTGCTTTGACTTGTGTCCAGATACATGGTGATATTTTTCAAAGGGCCTGTAAACTTCTGGGTTATTTCATTTGCAGATTGCCTCTGGACAGTCATATGTTTTGGAAACAAAATCCAAAGAATTTTCTAAAAATGTCCAGGTCACGTTCAGGAAATATAAAAAGAAATTATGGGTTTGTAGGACACAGTTATTTTTTCATCTTCATTTTTTTCAGTGGTTGATCTTTATCATGCCCACATAAACACATGCGCAAATACACACACTCAAATTATTTAAGGGGGAAAAGGACCTCTACTTTGGAACTAAGTGAGAAAATGTCTTTTTAGTGTCTTTAGTAGTGGTATACCATGAAATTCTTAACAAATATACTATCAGTATTCTTCCAAACCTGGATCTTCATGGACTTTGAAGAAAAAGTGAGAACAATATAGATGGGGCCTTTCTATATCAGGTGGCTAGTCTTTCAAAGAGGCATGCAATTGTGATCATGGAAGATTTAAATTATTCTGACACCTGCTGACTCTGCCAAGAATCAGAAGACTGACAAATAACAGAATAGCAGAGTTGGAAGGGACCTTGGAGGTTCTCTAGTCCAACCCTCTGCTCAAGCAGGACACACTGTATCATTCCAGACTAGTGGCTCTTCCAGTCTCTTGTTTAAAAGCCTGCAGTGATGGAGCACTCACAACTTCTGAAGGTAAACCATTCCATTGATTGATTGTTCTCACTTAGAAAATTTCTCTTTAGTTCTAGATTGCTTCTCTCTTTGATTCGTTTCCATCCATTGTTTCTTGTCTTGTCTTCTAATGCTTTGGAAAATAGATTGAAACCCCCACCTCTTCTTTGTGAGCTTTTGTAGCCCTTAAATTATTCACAAGTTCATATAAACTGAGTTGGGGAATAATTCCTGATTTCCCTGCCATGTAGCTTTCACTGTCTACAGCCAAAGCTCAAAACTGATTTCCATGCTTCCCTTTACTTATATGTCACAATTAAAGAAACAACAGGAGCCCCAATGAAAGGAAAGGGTTTTTCCCAATTGTATCATCTCTCCATCTGATTTCAATTCTTTCTCTAGCCTCTTCCCTTCTCAGTCCCCCTAGAAACATTCCTCTTGGCAGTTTTCCCCACCTCTGTTAAAAACTGTTATAGAAAGAAAAGTACCACAAAGGACATGGATGTACTGATTGGAATGGGAAGCAGTGATCCTATATACACCCTCCTTGTCAGCTAATTCTCCCCTGCAAATGTGATTTCCATTTAATATCTTTCCCAGCAGAGTATTAGCACAAAAAAAAAAAAGTTTGCCCTATAGGAGATGTATGGCCAAAACCTTTGGTTAATTTCTGTAATTAAAGTAACATTATATACCTTGGAATATAAAATCCTCTCATTTTTATTTGGCCGGATCAAATTCAAACTTGAAAAAGTTCGGGCAGGATTTCTCTTTCCCGCTGAGAATTTGATAGGCTTGAATTGCAATAGGTTTTTCTATGGTCATTTGTTATTGAGGTCGATTTAATCAACGGGTTGCTTCCGCAAGACTGGACACATAAAGATAATCGAGAAGAAGCAAAACAAGGCAAGCAGGCAGAGCACAGCTTCTGAAATTCTTTCCAACCCATTCATAGCAGGCCCACCCAGGATCACATGACCAGGAGGGAGGAGGGCTTCGGAGGGGAGCAGCCAGCAGCATTCCAAGTTGCTATCCAACCACCTCTCCCATAGGACTGAATGGGAGGGGGGAAATCTCTGCAGCCCCTAACTGGATCCAGTTCATTTTCGAACTTGATATTTCTTTTGCTGGCGTCTCCTCCACACCAAACTAGGACTTGCTCTTTTCACTTTGGGGAGACTTGCCGTGTTGACAGACAGACAGACAAATAGATTTTGAGCTCCTTGATGGCATTTCTTTCCAGCATTCCATTGTGGAAAAAATAAATAAAACTACAAAAGGACAACTTTGAAGATTTGTTTGTACAGGATGTATTTGGGAAAAGTTTTCAAAACAATTTTTGAAGTTTAATTTCTTAAAATTAACACTGGGTATATAGTTCTTCAATATGAAGTTCATGGATTAAACATTTCCTTTAAAAAAAAGGAAATCAAGCTGTTTATTTGTTTTTTTGTACACAAATTCTTCTGCTCAATCTAACCTTCTTTTTGTATTACCTCGTCTATTGGTTGGAAGCAGATTTGCAAACATCTTGAAATAAAAGGATTTTTTAGGACATAAGGAGTTGAGTTACAACTAGCAACAGCAACTACTGCCTTGAAAATAGTTTGCTTCCAGATACGTTGATGAAGCTTCTCAGTCATCCAGATCTGGAAGTTGAGTCCTGGCAGCTGGACTTATTTTCTTTGTTTCCATAATCTTCCTATCTAATGCAGCCTCAAACTCCACATATTTAACACAGACGTAGTTCTAAGTCATATACAAAATTATCTGTTTTGTAAACTTTTATATAACCTTTATAAACTTCTGTCCCAAAGGAATCTAACCAGAACTGGAAATTATTTTTGCTCCAGACATCTGTTAATTCCCAACACATAACCCTGTAGGGAAAAATTAGGGCTAGTTAATCTGGACTTCTAAATATCTGGATTGTCATTACATGCTAATAAGGAGCTTCCACTTTCTGCCTTTTTGATTACCTATTTTGGCAGCTCACATAAGACGACAGAGTTGAACTAGAAGGCCTCCAAAATCCCTTCCAGCCCTATGATCTTATGATTCTATAATTTATTTTATATCTAGTTAAATGTTCTGTTTTCTTCCTTTTTGAAATAGTTGTATTAAAGTGCTAAGAATAATAAAGTCCTACCTAAAATACAAAAAATTTCTAAATGTCTGGGTGCTAGAACTGTAATGAATCATATACATGCAAGTAGTCCTCAATTTACATCTAACATTAGGACCAGAATTTTGGTTGCTAAATGAAGTGGTTGTTAAGTCATTGCATGATTTTACAACCATTTTCAATCTGATTGTTAAGTTAATCACAAGATCATTAACTGTATGGTATGTATTACATATAAATACATCACAATACATTGCTACGTGTAGGCACAATATTTTAACACTCCTGTTTAAAGAGCTGTATTCATTTAAACGTGGAAAATTCACATTATTCATCTTGCAAAACTTTGACCAATTATCCATTTTTTTTAATTAACTGTGTGAGATGTTTGAAATATGGCCAAATTTTACCATGTAAGTATTCTTTAAATGTAGCAAAGGAACAAGGAAAATCAAAATCAGTAAACATGCAGAAACACTCAGACAATACGATGAAAAGTTTCTTTCTGCATTCCATCTGTGATTATTCATACCCTGTTTAATGTTCAGTTACCCTAGAAGTTGAGAGGTTTCCCTTAAGATCAAATAGTCTGACATCATTTGATTCCAATTCTCATAGATTCTAGCCAGCATGTCCATCTATCAGAGATGATGGAAGTTGCAATTCGAACTCTTCTGTAAGATTGCAAGATCTCAGGATGCTTTCTATACCTTTGTATTTAAAGAGATTTCTCCTTTTTATTTTAATAGTGGAATTTTCATTTTTTATTTTAATTTTTCCATAGTTCATGAAGGTTATAAAGAGACTCAGCTTTTTCAGGACAGTGTACAAGTTTCTCAACAGATGTGGGTAATATTTTCCTTAACCTAATTAAAAACATTAGTAAAAGTAAGATTTGGTTTCATCACTATGGGTAATTCTTTATATTCCATTTGAGAGTTTGGCTTCTATGGACTTGTTCCATACATGTTTTAAGAAAGGAAGTAATCTTTAACTTTTTTCTCATTAATTTGATTCGTCATTTTTTCCATCCGTAATGTCTTTCTGAATCTAGTTCTTAGTTTAGTCAATGAGATGACTTTTTCATTGAGAAGTAATTGCCATTCTTACTGTTGCAAGCTCATGAAACAACAATGAAACTTTTGGTCTCCAAGAACATTTAGCAAACTTATTTTTGGCTCTAATGCAGAAATTGCCTGCTATCTTTTTTTTTTTTTACTTCATGCTAAGCATACTTTCTTTCAAGATACCTATATTTCAACAGTTATTCATCACAAGCCTTTCCAGTATCAGTTGCCTTTTATTAAGAGTTAAGATTCAGTAACTAAGCAGCATGAATGTGGCACTGAGTGTCAAAATTGTTGGCTCCTTTTTCTCTAGTTATTTCTATACATAGTTTTGTGTCATCTTCCCATCTCTTTCAAGAGTAAGACATGTGGCATAGGACTGTTGATAGCAATCACTCATCTACATTGGCTCATGTTTTCTCATTGTTCTGTATAAGATTCTGGACTTGTTATTACTTGTACAGTTTTTTACCTACAGAAGAAAAATATTTACCCATGTTCTCTGGTTCTACTTCTACTTTTATCCTATGTCCCACACAATCATAAAGAGATTCACAGTGCTGGATATTGCTCTCATATTCCTGCTCTTTTCATCTCCAAGAGGCTTATTTTTGAAAAGAAATGTTTTTATGAAATGCCCTAAGGGATTGTGGGTTGGGGGTGGAAACAAAGATACATCTTTGAATCATAAGATTGAAAGTGACATTGGAAGTCTTCTTGTCCAGGGATCTCCAACCTTGGCAACTTTAAGACTTGTGGACTTCAACTCTCAGAGTTCCTCAGCCAGCTTTGCTTTGCTGGCTGAGGAACTCTGGGAGTTGAAGTCCACAAGTCTTAAAGTTGCCAAGGTTGGAGACCCCTGTTCTAAGCCAAAATCCTACCTATAGTGCAGTAAACTTTATCTGTTTTGCTTGATCTCATTTTTATGGTATAATGTTTTAATAGTTTTAATAATTTCAATTGAACAACATTCCATATTTCATGATTCAAAACTAAAATGTCTAAAGTTTGTATTAATCACTTTTATACAAGATTATACATTCTTGGAATAAGCAAGAATGAAAAAAAATGCTACCATTTCAACTGAATAAGCTTGGCAATTAACTCTAGGTATTCTTTCGAGGTATGCTCGAAAGACTAAACCTCTGGTCCCACAGATTGACCCAGATTGCTACACTATCCTGTGTCACATATATTTTCCTTCATTCTAGGTATTCACTTATATATCTTAGTTATACACCATAGTGACATTCACTAACATACCTTCCTATACTAGGAAGTTTTTAAAAACAGTATTTCAGCAACTGTAGTGGATGCCAAGGAGAAGCACTGTTTTTGTGATAACGTTTAGCATCTGTAGTTGAGGAATAGTTGTAATTAAGCCTAATATATATTTTTTTAAAGTATATCTCTGCTCAAAGGATAATTATGTAATGGTTTACCCAGTTCAAATTTATTTGGCTCCAGGCCTAATTTGGCTTAATGTTAAATTGCAGGCTTGGAATAAAATGAAATGGTTGTGAAGCTAATATTATGTTTCTCTTGCTGTCCAACCCCAAGAAGCATGTTTGTGAGCCTTAACTTAATTGAGTTTAACATTGACTATTATTGTGGATAACTGAATGGGAACATTGGGTGCCCTGTCATCAAACTCTGTGTCTCCATGGGTTGTAAAGTCAATATGATGAACATGTGTGGAATCATACATCCAGACTACCTGAAATTTGGATCTCATTTCCATGAATTAACAAAGCTTTGTCCTTCTCTATCCCTTGTCAACGGTTCTTAGCAAAAAAAAAAAAAAAAAAGTGGTCAAGTTTCTATTTTTAAAACGTGGTTTTTAAAAGTGGACGTAACCATTTTTCAATTTCTCTTAAGCATTTTGTCTAATGATGAGATGTTGAGATGACAATTGGGATTTGAGAAAAAGAAAACTCCATTTACTATTAATAACAGAGTGGTCATTCTAATCTGTTACAGACAAGTGCTACATTCATACACCAGGATGCTGTAAAGCAGCTTTCAGAGATCAAATTCTAAGCATTACACAATCCTAACAAAAACAACAACAACAAATCACTGAAGGAGAATGACGAAGAGGACAAAAACCTTTGTGAAACCTCTTGTTGATATGGTGTAGACCGCTTCAACATTAAGTTAAATTAACACTTAATTTAATTTAACTTCATTTTATTGCTTAATCACCATCCAGTCTTTTTAACAGGGACTGTAAATTTGATTCAAAGGTGACTACAGTAGTCCTTGACTTACAATAGTTCATTTTGTGACTGTTCAAAGTCAAGGACTATCTTCAGCCACTTTTGAATCAAATTTACAGTCCCTGTTAAAAAGATTGCATGGCGACTAAGCAATAAAATGAAGTTAAATTAAGCAATATTTTTCAGCAAACTTGATTTTAATCCTTTTATTCAATATCTAATCATTCTTATGATCCTTAAATCAAAGGAAAAACAAACGTACCCAGATTGATTCTCTCCCCCCTCTCCCCTGTTTTTATAAGCAGCATCCTTCACCCATCTTCCAGGATCCAGGGTCAAATGAATCATCACTTCCCCTCTTATCTACTGATACACAGAGAGTTCCCTATGCTGCCCATATCATATGCTCACACATGCCCACAACATATAGGGCAGGGGTGAAGATACAGGGGTGAGGTGTAAAATGTGCAGTATTCTACACTGCATATTACACTGCAGTAATTAGAAATTTTCTTTTTGTTTCATGTGGAATAGAAGCTGGTGAATTTTTCCAGAACTGTGTTTTATTAAAAGAAATTCTGTTTGAGACTTGAAAAAAAAAAACTTATCTACTGGAATTTGGGGAAAAATTGCTTGGCTCATGGTGATCCTTTCTGTTCTTAGTATGGTGAAATTGGCAGAATTGAAGACTGTGAAAGACAGTCTTTATAAAGACAACTTTATAAAGTTGAAAATGGTTTGAAAAAGAATTGGGGACAATGAAGGAAAACCCTTATATCGAAGTGTCTTCAGATATGCTCATTTCTATTGTGAGTTCAAGTGATCTTAAACTGTTTCTGGATGTATTAACTCTACATTTCATTGTTTTAAAGTCAAGGCCAAGCTTATTGCTTCAAGAATCATGTACAAAATCCCGAGACAGTAGTTTTCTCCCTCAAAGAATGTGCAATGAGATCTTATTTAATAACATCACTGCAACAATCTTTATTTTACCTATAACTTTATTTTCTGTTTGTTACTTAGCTAAAACTGACCATGAGATGGAAGAGAAATCTCTGGCAGAGACGCATAAAAGGTGAGATGAACAAGTTTAATCTGAAAAAAGATTTCCTTTGTTACTCATTGATCCTAGATTATGAAAGAAATCTTAAAGGACAATCATGCAATCATAGTTTATTTGAGATCTTTGGGTAGCCAATTCTCTCATACATTATTAAAGCTAGAAAGTTTAGGCTTTTGCTGAAATCACTACAGCACTACACAAAGAATTCAAATAAAGTGGCTGTTTGCTTGAAATGGTGGGAATTTTTCTTTAGACTAAAAACAGATGCATTACTCTTATTCTATATTTAAGGCTCCCCACTACATACAAAGGAAAGGAAAAAAGATGGTATTAAATTATTAATCATACTGAAAATTCAACATTGCTTTTATGTGTCAAATTAAGTTTGCAAAGAAGCCACTGCTGTCTGTCTAATTCAGTAATGATGTAAGCATTAGCAAGAACTGAGGCTTTGAAGACTTTATAGTTGTTATTGCACAATTTCTTTTCTCTTCCTTTTTGCAATTTCCTTGCTAATGCGGCTTACTTTAAGAACTGGTTTTAGTAGCAAATGGAAATTTTTTTAGAAATTTCCATTGCTATTAAAGCCAATTCTTAAAATTCATGTTTTCCAAATCCACTGGAAATGACAGAGCTGCCAAATTTTGAATCATGGCTTCACAAAATTAAGTATTTATATATGTAATTATCTACTGCCTAAGTCCAAACAGATTCTAGAAACATTAGGAGCACTAGAGAACATCCTTAGGGGGAAAATGTAGTCCTATTACCCTAATTAGGTTAGGAATGTTTCCTTAAGTTAAATGGCTTTGAATTTACTTTGGTTGTAGCTGTGGTTTTTCCATTATTTGCTTCATAGTCATTAGTAGTTTAAATACCTGGGAGCTTGCCTCAGTCTCCTCACTCTATGAAAGGTTGGAGAAGGCTGAATCACAATTTTTTTTTTTTAATTTAAGTCTTCATGTATTGGACAGAAAAACTTAAATAATTGTTAAACTCTGCAAATTACTTAAAACACTTTACTTAGAGTAGACCCAAGGAAGGAACTGTGTAGTCTTGAAAACATGGGCCACATAAAGCCTTTGAGTTCTTATATCCTTGATTGATTATAATCACGTTTTTTTGCAGATTTATAGTTGCACTTTGAAAGATATACCTCTCATGCCTAATGAGAACTGGCTATTAGAATACACTAAACAAAGGGGCAGAGAGAGATTGATCTCACTTTTTGTATACAAGGATATTTCAGTTATTACATTTATAAAATTCTTGCAGTAGTGCTTAAGAATGTGTTAAAAGCACCTTTTAATGAACAATTGGGCAGTCTCCAATTTGCCAATGTTTCACTGTTGTTTAGTGGTAGCCATGAAGCAGGAGGTTGATTTTGATTTCCTATCTCTAACCATCTATTTTGCCTTTTTTTTTTTTACTGAAAACTTTACCTTTTTAAATTTTTTTAACTATTGACAAGAGCAGCATAACACACTATAATGTTCTAAATACTTTAGAATATTATCTTACTGAACTCTGTGATAAACCCATTGTTATGTGATCAATGTCTAAATACATAACAGGATTTTGCCAACTCCGCTCCTTCCAACTTATACTCTCCCCATATATTTCAGATAGTAGTTCATTTTATTTCTAGAGCAGATTTTAAAGATAAGAGAAAAAAGGAATTTCTCTGTGGAAATTAATTCACAGAAATATACTTTTGGATTCCATCCTATAATACACATGTGTGCCACTGAAACATTTAGAAACAAAAAATCTTCCAGGGATCGTAAATACATGTCATCGTGAATATGCTTTTTTAAAAAAAAAAATACAACTATCTAAGTCTTTAGCTTGCTTTGTATGTATGAGCTTTCAGAAAAAAATTAGTATTTAATATTGCCAACCAACAGGAGGGCAATCTGTTTGTATAATAATTTTCTTTGTATATTATATGGTGTAGAAAAATTCTCCTTTATATTGCCACAGTAAACTGGGTTGTTTTTTTTTTTTCTTCCTCTAGGGTATATGTGCCGTCAAAATTTTATTTACCGTTCAAACTATGTCAATGTCAAAGACACTTTTGGGGCGGAGGGTGAGAGGAGAGCTCGAGAAAACTAAATAAATAAGAGATTAGTTGCATTCTGCTAATCATGGGTAAAATAGCTAGGCACTGGGTGAATAGACGAGTTACTGCTAGCTGCAGTGATGGATTAGCTGAAGCACAATTAATGTGATTTAATGTGGTTGGATTTTTCTTTTTGAAGTGACTATGTGCCACAGAGTGTCTATGTCATGATTACATGTCTTAGAATGACAAGGAAACATTGATTCATTGTTTGAAATGGAAAAATGGTTTTACAACGCTGCCTCTCTATGGCATTGTAAAGCCAAGCAGCCATGAAAGAAAAATGTTCTTCAAGTGGACACTGTTTTAAGCACAATGCCTTCTAGAAAAAAAAATCTAATTGTTTATCAGTTGAGCTGAAATGGAAAATTAATCTTTCACACATAATGAAATGGTATGTTTGACCTGTGGATTCTATAAAGTCTCCGGCTGTTCATTTGTCAAAAGTGAGATGTTTAATCCTTTCTGAAAGACTGTATACATTTTTATTTATTTATCATATTTAGTGACTTTAAGACCGACAATGTGTGAAGTGTTTATTCAAGAAATGGGTTTCTGGCACACGAGCAAAAAGAAAAGTGAAATGTTTACTTCCCAATAACAGCACATTGTGTGATCTCTGGGTAAGGATCCTGAGACAAGAAAGAAAAAAACCTCACACCATTCTGTGTTTATCCAGCTTACATAGGCAGACAAGGAAGGCTCCAGCCTGTTATTAAAGTTGAAGTGATACAGCCCCAAACAATGACGTCAGTCCCTGAATAATATTGATAAAGTGCAAGAGCAAAAGATATGACAATTCCCAATTTCAGCTTTCGTGAGCAGTTCTCAAGAAGCCGTAAAATATTTGACAGAGTCAAGGGAAAAATACAGCTTGCTTCAAAAGAAGATGCGAGAGTGTCTCAGGCATAAACATTCACAATTTTCAGTGAAGACAGACACTGTTTTTCAAGATCTCAGCTCCAAGTCTTTTCTCAGTCATTCTGTGTGAGATCCTTTTTTAACAAAAATAGGACTGGCAAGGGTGGAATCTGCTATCTTTTGTTTTTTTAAAAAAAAATGTGTGTCCTTCTGCTCAGTGACTGCGTGAAACCTGATGTGTGCATAATCAGCACCATTTCTTTAATTTGGAGGTGGAGAGGTGGAAAGACAAATCCCATTTTTAGGATATCAGAAAAAAAAATGAAAAGATCTCTACTTTTCTTCTGGAGAGCTGAGATCTTCAGCATGCTGTGCAAAAGTTATGTAAGTTTTGACTGAAACAGTTGGAATCTCAAATTAAGGGAACGTGGCCTAAAACAATTTTTAAAAAATCACTTCATTTGTCTATCTCACTTTCTGACTTAGACCTTAAATTCTAAATGTAGCTAGTTCTCAACTTATAACCACAATTGGGACTGGAACTTCCATTATTAAGCCATGTGGTTATTAAGTGAATCACAGCCGATTTTGCTACCTTTTTTCCCATAATGGTTAACCAAATCACACAATTGTTAAGCCAATCCAGGTTTCCCAATTCACTTTGTTCATTGGAAGATCCCCTAGCAAAACTGCAAATGGCGACAATGTGACCCCAGGATACTACAATTGTTGTAAATACATGCCAGTTGCCAAGCACCCAAATTTTGATCACGTGAAGAGGGGAATTTTGCAACAGTCATAAGTGTGAGGACTGGTCATAAATCACTTTATTCATCTCAATTTCTTAATTTCAAATAGTAATTAAACAAATGGTCATAAGTCAAAGACAATTACTTAACATTGTTTGCGATATCAATTATTATTTAAGCTTCCATTTTTTTAAAAGAAATTTGAAAGTAAATATTTGTCTGTCTTGGATTCAGAGTCTATATCTGATGGAGGGAAGGAGGTAGATGGGAGAGCAGGAAAATGAACACAGGCGCCCATATGTATGTGGACATACTGCAAAGTCAAAAGAGAAGCTCACATATATGTTTCAAGGTGAAACATGAGATTCTGTGTTGCATCTTTGTGTGTTAACTCCTGAAAGTGTGTATTTCATAGTAATTTTTTTCCAGTAATCATGATGAATAATTTTTGCTGTCCTGGACTTGCTTTTGTATAGATTGTTTCTGTGTATGCTTTTGATTTTATGTGCATTTCTGTTTTGTGCATTTCTAGAGGTAACTAGCTAGTATTGATTGCTATGCACATACAGTATATTCTTTCCTTGGCATTTGGCTGATATATAAAACATATAATACAATGGCAAATTCTGAAAAATGCATGATTATAACATAGCACAGTCCTTTAAACATCCCTATGACTGATTATTTAAAAATGGCATATGAATATTTTCCCATATCCAATGATTCATAAGCGGTGCTACTAGTTTCATGGCAAAGTATCTTTACTGGTGGTGTTGCAATAGTCCTTTAGTCTGTGGTGCAAATGCACACCTCTCTGCTGGAGTATCATAACTGTGAACTTCTGGAAATAAGAGCGGAGGCAGTTAGTTGTATCAGCAGCAATGTTTTAAATTCCTATGCCGGTAACTCCTAGCAGGATTCATAACAGACATACAAAGAAACCCTTAAAATGGGAATATTTATTTTATTTAAAATAGCCATTATAAACCATTTTCATGCTTATTTCAGTGCATGGTTGGTTTTGTAATATTCTTGTCCATATAAGAAAGAAATCTTAATATAGTGTCTGAACACAGTCAAAACTTATTTTTGGGCTAGAATTAAAATACACAGGTTGAATAAAGAGTTGGTATTTGAAACTTCATTGTCGTTCTCATTAAGTAGATCAAGGAACTAGAAGAAGGTTTATTTAAGGAAAAAATGTCCTCTTTTTTTTTCCTTTTCCTTTTTTTTTTAACATTGCACCATCCAGAAAAGTTGCTTCATGTAGTTGGTTTGGG